TAAATATATAAGAAATTATTTCGCCGTGACGGTAATGTAACGCAATTCTCAATTTATCGCAAATCTCAGTAGTGTTCAGTAGCGCATCAATTCTTATTGAGAAATTGAAATCAAAATTTTGAACCACAAATCCGTCATAAGATCTTGTGGAGACCTTTTTAAATTTTTTATGAAGTCCGTACCGACATTTTCATCGAGTGCTGCAAATTCCCTCTACGCGTATATAATGTTTACGCTTTTTGTTATAATTGCAATTAATCTTTAAAAAGTTTATACAATGTCAATATAAGATAGGTATACATATTGCTTGGGAACCGAATCGTATCTCTCTGTCTATCCATTTATAATATTACTCGAAATATGAGAATCATAAAAACTAAAACACGGATACTACTGTAATAAAAATCTTAAAAGTTAAAAAACTGCTCCGGAAACATTGTTAACTACTTAAAAATATTGGCAAGAAATATATCATAGACATTAGTTAAAATAATGTCGAAGTAAGGAAAAATACTGCTCGGTTTGATAAGATCGCGCCATTTAATTAGCAAATTCTTACTACGCTTTGATCAGGGTACTTAACAATTAAGGAATATTTATAATTATATGAAATGCATTTAATCTGTCTCCTAAAGCGTCCGCGCAACCATGAGTACAGAACAAAAAGCTACCCGTAAAAAAAAGAGAGTAAATTTTAAGCCTATCTTTATATTTTTGTGGTTATGAAAACCACTTGACTAGGAGTAGTTTATTGCAAGATAATGCGAATAAGCTCACCTCAGTAAAAGTCAATAAAAAAGTAAGTCATGCAATTCGAAATTTGTACACAACAATCGAAAAGTAATAAATAGTTTCGTAAACAATATCTTGTGGGACAACGCTAGAGCTAAAAAGTTAAAAGACTTTATTTATTTATTTGTTTACTTACATATGAAACTCAGCTAAAATAAGTTAATAGCCGAATTTAATTAAGTGTTAAAAGTTAATTTTATGGTAGTTATTGTAACTATTACAAATAAGTAAAGAAAAAAATAATAATAATTCATGTATAAATGAATAAGAAAAAATAAGAAAAAACGCATGTACACAACTAGCATAGCAGCACACCCACTAACGGTACAGATCCAAGTTGCCCCAAGTGAACCCTTAAGCCATTGCAAACATTCGAATTTTCGAGTCATAGTGAGGTGTTAAGATTGCAAGTGAGTTTAAATAAGACAAAGGCAAAGGGCGCGTATTAAGCGTAGTTGTTTTGATGGACTTTAAAGAGTCCGATAGTGAGATGAGATGGACATCATTTAGGTTTCTGCAAGCGTGAACGGATTAAACAGCTCATAATTATACTTACAATGGTTCAGCTTAATGAGAATAAAGTGTCTAGACAAGCAATTAGGGGGCATTAAAGCTTATATTACCAAGTAATATGGGCGAATAGATCGTACCATTAATTAACGTAATTACAAAGGAAACGGCAAGAATAAATCTACGTTTCTTTAGTGATGATAAGGATAACAGAAGCAAGGTATTTTTATCAATGAATCTACATAACACCTATAGGACGGAGATCACGCAACAGAGGCATACAAAAGTGTTGGTCTAACTAAGCACATGTATACCCTTTTTGTAATGTCCTTCGTTCATAAAGCTCCTTGCACTAGCTCTTAGTGAAATGTAGCGCGAATCTACTAGTTTTACTTAAAGAGACCTCAATGCGCAAATTAAAACGTAACCTTTAATCGAATGCAACCCTTAAATCGACGAACGAATCTACGTTTTCCAATTTGTGTGAATCGGTAAAATTCTCATTTCCATAAAATTTCACGAGCACCATCTAACCAAATTATTTAAGTCAATTTGTAACTGATAAGGTTTCGATTGCAAGGAGAAGGTACAAAACAGTTTAACATCGTCACCGTACATTAAGATATGACTGGATTTATCGTTATGTTTAGATTAAATAAAAAGGGTTCTGAGTGGGTGCCTTAAAGGAGGCCAGACGTCATGAGAAATTCATTCGAAGTGATGAAATTGAGCAAACCCTTCATTGATCTGTTATGCAAATGAAAGCTTATCTATTTCACTAATTATAAAGGGAAGCCACAGGCCTGGAGTTTGAAAATCAATAACAGATTTAAGCAGTGAGATATTGGTTTTATTAAAATCGTAATGTTTATTTGACGACGTCGGATATCAGGCATTAAAATGGTTCAACGGATTACCATGTCTGTAATAAAAAGAAATACAAATTGCTTGATGATACGGATCCTCAGATAAATAAAAAGTGTACAGCGATTTACAGAAATGTCTGGGAAATTAGCAAAGCAAAGAGCAATTAGTCTGCCATTACAGTGAGAAGCTTGGTTGTATTGAACAAAATTGCGATCAAATAATTTATTAAAAAACACAATAATTCTATCAGATGTTGAAGTGGTACAGCCAGAATTATCACTATAACACCAAGTGACTCGTGGCAAATTTACGTTCCCCAGCGCTATGATTATATCAGCAGGTTTAGACTTTTCGGCCACGCCACAAATAAAGGAAGACATCGTGCTTTACTGAATTTAGGAGAGTGGGGCGAAGTTTTGAGTTAAGACCCCTAATACTTTCGTAAATGAAAGTTATCGGGCCTGAAGAATCGTTTAGTTTTTTGAGGGTGGAACAACTGCCGAATTAGTATTAAGAGCATGATTCCGAGGAATGAAGTTCTTCATTAAAGATCCCACTGAGCACAATTGTTTATTTAACAAAATTTCCATGTTTTCCGTCGAAACTAACACCTTCAAAGATGAGATAGCTCTATGTTAAGATACATCCAATTTGAAAATGTTCACACGATTCAAAAGTCATTGTTTCGTATCTTATAGTCGGGATATGACCAACGTAAACCTTTCAAAGAATCTAGGACGGCACCTGCAGCACCGCCATTGATGTTAGCACAATTCGCATGACAAAAACGTCCGCAAAGCCAACAAGTGATGAATCGGGGTCTGTTTTGATTCGACATGATGTAAATCAACACTACATATCGGAAAGCAACAGGCAAAATAGAGAAAGAAAGAGAAAACAAAATAGTTTGTCACGCATTCAAAAATGATCTCTCTATTAAAAGCACAGTAAATAAACGAAAAAACTGTCAACGCCGAAACTCAAGACAGGTGTTCGGAAGCAACAACACGCAAAAAGTGAGAAGCGCGCTTTGTGACAAGAGCTAATCGCAAAATAATATCGACACAAAAAGTTAATATATTTCTACAAATTTAAAGACATTTATAAATAATTACACTTTAAAATCTTATAAAGCAATAAAATAGAAAAGAAATTAAAAAATTTCACACATTACTGTGGAATGTTCCTATTGATAAGGTGAAGCCATATAAAAAAGAAAAGTTTTATCCTTTTGCGATTTATTGGTGTGTAACGAAAAGAACCTAAAAATGGCAAGAAAAGCATGTCCAACATATCTTTTTGAATAATTATTTGTCGGTGGATTAGTTTATTGCAATGTAATCTCCGTGCCAAGCGCTAATAGCATTTTCTATTCTTTCCAATTGCTCGAATTTAACTATTGAAAAAAGTGAAGCACTTCATCGTATGACTGTGAGTTATAGCAGAATGCAATTGCAGACGTCTACGTTACGTCACGTTTTAAAAACTCATCAAACATAATAAAGTGTCCATGCTTCAGGCAGAAGTTTGAGATTACTTCGACCGAAGGGAAATAAACCTTTATGTGAATTAGTGAAAGTAGATAAGATAAGAGTCCGTACCAACCGAATTACATGCTACCATAGAAAGCATACAGAATGACTGGTACAAATCAATAAATGTGAAACTAGCGGAGCAGTAATATTTACGAGTTATCTGAGCAAAGGAAAGGAGATACAAAAACAGTACTATTCCATTGACTTCGTTAGGTAATGTCTAAAAATGTGGACATATAGCGAAGAAATAAAAGCTTTTTCACCAAGTTTATGACGCCTCTATTGTTTATTGTTGCAGTCAAAAAATTCCACGCCACCTCTTATTTTATTTCTCAACAGAAAAGGCATCTTTGAAACCTTGACAATAGCGTAAGTTGACAATAGCTGAATAGCAGAAATCTACGACGCTATTAGAAGGAGTTACGTTTGCGACTTATTTTCAATAAGAAAGAATATGCTTTATTGTTGTTTAAGATATAACGTTTATACGTGTAATAACAAAAAAAAAAAAAAAAAAAAAAAAAAAAAAAAAACAACTTTACTAAAAAACTTTACTAAAAAACTTTCGTTCAAATACTTACTGCACATGACTGATTTTTGAAAAAGTTTGGCTGGTAACTAATTTCGTTAGTTTCCAAAATTAGAGTGAGAGAGCCGAGCAATATATAGTTCCACGTCTGTATAATTCACCAATCAACCCCGCCATGTTCGGCCTCTTTAGTATATTAATATTATCTTGTGCGGATGTATGTAATACTTAGCTGGACTTGGGATAGAGCCACTTTATTTTATATCAAATGATTCAGAGTAATTTTTTATATAGATTTAAGCGTGCCCATCAGCTTATCCACGTAGTTTTGTATTTATTTTCATCAATAAGGACGAACAATATTAAAATTTTTCATTCATTGCATGAGAACAATTGACAATAATCAGCGAAAAATATGGTTGTCGCTTAAGAAGCTGCACTACGTTGTAAATATTCTTACAGCAAATTAGCCTTTTTGTGGTAAGGTAGAAATTGACTGAGTAAATTTTCGACACGATAAGCTTATTTATTGGACCCATTTTTATAAAAGGGCTTTTGTTAAAACTAAGCCAAAGAGTTTGACTTTTGATATTTTTTGATGAAAATAAATTATAAATTGGTGTTACCAACTTCGGTAACCCTATAAATTTCTAATATCAATTAGATGTACCCTTCTCTAGTGATATAAAAACCTGATAAGCATAAAAGAGTTCTTTTAAGATTTTGTTGAAACGAGGAGAAAATATGCGTGAATAACTCTTTTTATGGCTGTATCTGGAAAGACATTTGTTAAAAAATGCAATGAGAATAGATTCGCTTCGTAAAAGCATTTTGTAGTTCGGACCAATTAAACTGACAATATAATAATTAAGTGAAGAATTATAGATTATTTAGTCGTCCGAACGACCGACCATTTCAAATTTATTACGTAACCATGTCTAAAATTTTTCTTTATTCATTAAATCTTTAATAGGCAGTTATAATAAAATGAAAAGAAAATTTTTTACGATCGATTTGCAATGCAATCGACCAAAAATTGCTTTGCGATCGATTGCATTTATCCCACTTGGCTTATGGCATTATTTATCTGTTTAGTTATTTTATTTTTTTAGTTATCTTCTAGCATGAGGACAATTTCATATGAAAATTTTTTATTATATTGCAATTACTCCTGCTGTTCCTTATTTCGCCTTTTCTTAAGTGCAGTTTTTGTTTTTGTTTCACTCTTTTTCAGTGACTTCAGAGATGTGAACATTTTTGCCTTTTTCAACGATTTACTTCGGTTGAAGTGAACTTTATTATTTATTTATTTATTTTTTGGGGTGGGTTTTTCATTTAAAAAAAAAAAAAAAATGAAAATTCATTAGGTTTTTTTGTTCGCTGAAGACAAGTTGACATATGCTTTATGTAAAACATTTTAATATAACTATTTATAGGAGAGTAAATCCATGGAAACCTATCCATACTTCGAATAAAGTGAGAAAGATTCATGATATATACGTACATCCTGCGTAAATGTTATCAATTTTGCTTGTTTTTGTTGTTCTTATAAATTTTGTATACCTTAACACTTAGTTTATGTACTATTAAGCTAAACTTAATCTTATTCGTATAAGCTATAAGAGTGTATGTTGCATTAGTTTGGTTTTATTATATGTTATATTATATGGATGTTTCATTACACAAACGTGCATATATATTATATTGTATATAAATATATATGTATGTACAACATATATATATTATATGTTATATATTTATATATGTTTGTATTTGGATGTATGTAAGGATGTAGGTAAGTATATATAAATGTACGTATGGATGTATTTATTTATTTATGTCTATATCTATGCACGTATTCGTTTATGTATGTATGTATGGATGTATGGATGTATGTGTATTTAATCTCTGTCTACAGACAGGTGATTATTTACAAAACATAATTTATTTTTAAAACTTTTCAACGGAAATACTTTTAATTGTTTTTGTTTTGTGTTTTTACATTCCTTCTAGAATAAATTCTAAATATTAAATATATGTCAAGTTGTTGTTGGTTTTGGTAAATTATATCTAACCTGTGTGTGATTCTCATTGGCATTGTCCGTCATAATATTACTAAAATTCGGGGATGTTGGTTCCTCATCTATAATCTATTTATCATTATCATTGATATCATTATCATTGATATCATTATCATTTTCATCTTCATAGAAAGTATAACCTAAATCTTCTTCATCTTCCGCTTCTTGTTCCGTGTCAACAACATCAGCACTAGTATTTCGGTTAGATTTATGAGAATTTTTTAGATTTTGCATCGAATGGAATAATTGCAATTGATGTAACTTTTGTCTATTGCCAGTATGAGTATTATACCATAGTTCCGGATTACTTTTGGTCATTAGCTTCAAAGTCTTCAAGGGGGTTAAGGGGGATTTAATGTTTCTAGTTGAAAACGTATTGTCGTGAGTTTGATTACTTTTTTCATTACAATCTTCAGTCATTGATTTTAAAGACGGCAAGGTAGGGCACCCTTTGTTCGATCCCGTGCATGCTAAGGATTCTGGCATAACTTTATACATATCTATGCACTTTGAGGCGTCTGGAAACTTTCCTATGTTTTTCTTGTGATTTAAAGTTTGGAAACATTGTCCGGAAAAAGTTAAGTTTTTATTTTCCGGATTAACGTCCATACGTGCATTGTATTCGAATTTGCTTTCGTTTAGCGCAAAACTATTTGAATCATCTTTAAAACTCCCTGCCTTAAAAAGCGCAGTGTTCGACGACAACTTAATATCCTCTACGAACTCATTCTCCTCTCTACCAATTTGTGATGGGCTTCCACGGGTCATTTGCTCAGATTTTAGTAAATTGGGTTCGCAAACGTCGTTTTTAAAGATCTCCGCAGACGCTTCTGCTTTTCCTTTACTTTGTGTCGACATATTTTTAGTTTTTAATACTGGTGGAGAACGTATCAGAGTTTTAGAAGTAATATAAATTTCGTCTCTGTTACTATTTGTAAAATCTTGAATTTTTATAACTTCGGGAGAATTATTGATAATTCTTGATAGTAATAAATTTTTACTTTTAGATATGGGCTTCACTACAGTAGCTGTATTTTCTTTAGATTTATCAATCTGCTCATAAGGTTCGCGTTTCGCGATTGTGAAAGCTTTTGACAATTTCGTAATACTTTTATCAATTGTTGGACTTTGATTATTTAACTCAGAATTTTTGATGTTCAAAGACGAAGTACATCTAATTAGATTGGCGATCGGCGTAGATTTTGAATATTGCTCGAGTTCATCGTTAATAGATATTTCAGTAGAATCATCTCCTTCGCTCTCCTCTGTGGAAACAATTGGTTTAAATGTTGAATTTTCATTTAAACATAAAGGAAGAAACACCAAAGGGCCTTCTTTACTATAATGGTGCTTTACAGGATGTTCCGCTGTATATGCTTGCGCTTGTAGTTGTTCCTGTTGTCGCATTTTTAGGTTACCTTGCTGTTGGCCGGCCACGGTTTGTGACGTTTGAAAATGAAAGCTGTGATATTTTCGCAATGGTAATTTAATCGGTCTCGCTGTAAAGTCTATTAACGTACTCGGTATTGTTGCTGTATTTGTTGTTTCTGGTAACTTCCGGTCAGTTGTCAGCATAATTTGAGAACTCCTTAAAGTTTCTGCGGTCTCCCCCATCTCTTCGATATAATTATAATTATCATTATCATCGTGAGAATAACTTAAATAACACGAATGTGGACTATATTTACGATCATTATATGGTCTATCATTATTACCATCATCATCAATGTCATCTATATTCCCGCTAGAAGACATTAGCATTTGTTGTGTATGCTGAGAATGTGTGAAACCAAGTTGTTGCTGTTGCTGGTGCTGTTGCTGTTGAAGTTGTTCATAGCAGTGTGGGTGGTCGTGGTGGCGATGGTGGCTTTGATGCAGCTCACTTTGTTTGACATAATCGATGGCATTGTATGGTTGTAGATTGATTTGTTGTTGTTGTTGTGATTTATCAACGTTTGCTGCTGCTGTTGTTGCCTTAAACGCGCTCGTGGATTCGGAGCAATAATTGTGGGTTTCGTTGATGCCACCAAGGCGGTTTTGTTTGCTGGCGGTGACGGTGTTAAGACGAAGGTGTTGTTTTCGACAGTCGCTGATGTACTTGATATGTGCGTAGGGGTCACTAATTGTCTGTCGTCGTAATTTCTTACGGCAGATGGTGGTGGGGGCGGTGGTGCTGGCAGTAGTATTTGCTGCTAAAAATGGATTAGTATCCAGACGATATTTGTTTGTTAACTGTTAGGTTTTTGTTTATGGATGGGCCATCGCAATAACAAGAAGCAACGAAAAATATTAACGCGTGCGAATTAAATTAAAACAAAAGAAAATCATTTTTCATGCAGGTGGTGTTGGCCAGTAGCGATTCAAATGTAAAAATAAAAAAAAAAAGAGGAATGAAATCATATGAAAAATGCAATAATATAGAAGAGACATATATCAGGCATAGTTAAAAATATTGAGATTCTTTTCCCACTAGATAATGTATAATAAATTACGCAACGCTTATCAGATTACATCATACTAACGTGTATTTCAAAGACGACAACTCAGTCTACGTATTGTATGCAGATAACTTTGTATTTCGTTAATCGTGTCAAAAGTTTCATTAGTGTGAAAATGAGTGGAAGAATTCTCTATCGAAGAATTCTATTCTATTTCGCCTTAAATATTAGACTGACCGAATCTCTTTTAACGAATCGCCTAGTAAGAATGCAACGAAAATGACCCATTTTTGAAGCAAATTATTACTGATTAGAATCGTGGTGGAAGAAAGGTGCGCAAAAACAAAATCGACCACAAAGTTACTGTTGACATCGCATTAAGTTGTGTGTGTAATGAGATCGGAGGCCATTCGCACATTATGACCAGTCATTGTGGCAATCCCAAAGCACCCACAAATTGTATGGCCTAATGGCCCGGACCTTGGCCTGTGCGACTGTTGTTTGTTTCGCAAGAGTCTCTTGCTGATGTAAAGCTGACTTCCAAAGAAGCCTGTGACGATCCCTTGGTTTAATTTTTCCCCCACAGATGCCAGAATACTATAACAACAGCATTGTGATTTTACCATAAAAATGGCGATCGTAGATGATAATGGACATAGTGTATTTAGGCAATTTTCATTTTGAGCGAAGAAAAAGAGAAATTTAGATAAACTTGAAAAAAAATTTCAATACTTTTCTTACGTCTTTTATAAATATGCCCATTATAAATTTGCGAGTTTTCAAAAGATGATTTAGACAATGTTTCGAAGATTTATAAAACATTTTAGAACTTTTGGACACTTCAATAAAGCAAAAATAAGATTTATTAAGAAAAACTGGAATAATAACTTTGTTGGAAGCGGTTTTATGTTTAAAAAGAAAAATTTGGTTTTACACTTACCTCCAAAGAAGTGACATTGGACGTCACGGTTGACCTTTGCTGTTTTTTACACTTACTCCATGCTGAGGCATTGACACCAGTACCACTTACACTACTGGCAACCGAAAGAGACGATGACGAGTGGCCACCGTGTGGATGGTGGCCTAATTGATATTGTTCATATTCTTCGGGGGTGGTGATTTCGGGTGGTTGCTGATGACGGCTGCAACGACTAACGGAAGTTACTTTTCCGCTATACAACGATGTACATGATGATAATGAAGCTGGATCTGCGCAAGTTCCATCATTTTGTGAGGACGAAGCTGACTCATATGCCGAAGTAGCTACAGCCGAATTTGGAGATGAGGGCCGTTCCAGGTTACTGATTGGTGAGGCTGTTGAATCACTGTTGACATTTATGTAGAGTGGAGTGGGCGGTACACGTGGTGCTTGCTTTTTATGAGCCGAATTAAAATTGGCCGTTACTGTGGAATGAATCAAAGAATTGGTTTTATGCGTTTTAGGGGTTTTAGGAGTTTTAGGAGCTCGTGGCGTTTTGCCGGGTGGCGGTGTAGAGCAGGCTGCACCATGCGATGGCACTGGTGTTACACATTCGTAAGATGAATTTGAAATGCCCGAATCACTGCGATAAATGCTTGAGCGTTCAGGTTCAATTAAGTTTAAATCTTCCTTCGGCTGGTGCTGGCGTTGGTGATGTTTTTTCTTGGGGCCCGTCGTCGAACTAGCGCCCAATCCTCCATTTACATGTACAGTATGGTGCGGTAAAGGGTGCAATAGTACGGTGGCCGTCCCCATTGAGGAAGAGAGTGCTGGCGCTTGCATTTCCATGTCACTAGATTTCGTATTTGAAGTATGCACTTGTACGGCATCATTAACGTTTTCGTAAGCAGGCGTATCATAGAAATGCAAGGGATTGCGCGACGGACCTTTCGGATCAATATCGCCAACGCTACCACCAGCAAAGGAATGATGTCGTTTGCATTTATTGTTGCTATCTGTAATTAATGGCCCCAAAACTCCTACTACCCCCGTTCTAGAGCTTGAATCTTCTCCATTACCAATTGTCTTGGAATTTTGAGCCTTGTTTTTACCCCCACTGGAAAATTTTAGTGAATAAAAACGTTTATCTTCTAATTTATCTACAAACGTTTTCCGTTTGCCTATACGTTTCATGGAAGTAGTGTTATAACCCTCCATCGTGCTAGCCTCAACACTGCTAGGCTGGTTAAATTTCTTGAAATTGCTAACTGCTAAAAAGGGATTTGTCGCTTTTGTGTTTCCTTCTGTTACAAGAGCGACACCGGCATTAAATGCATTGTAATCATGTTCGATGGCATTGAGCATTTGAGCGTGTGTTGCATTCGCCATATTATTGATGGCAAATTTTGAAGTAAATTGTTGCTGCTGTTGTTGCTGCTGAGTTTGGTAGTATTCTGTGTAGCTTTTAGGGAAGCAATTATTGAGATTATACGGCATTTGCTGATGTGGATTTGTGATGCTACTTGCGCTATTGTGAGCTGTTATGGAACTAGTGGCTGAGTTTGCATTGAGTGAATTGCTGTTTGTGTGGACAATGACACCGTCCTCTGTTGCGGCGTTAGACAACATTATTCTACCGTTACAATTGCTAGTGCTACTGTTATTTGACTGACTTATTATGGTCGGCAAACCGGCTAATATACTTGACGATGTTGATGGCTGTTGTTGTTGATGTTGCTGTTGTGCTGTGTGCTTTGCAAAAGTATTATATGCTTGTTCTTGTTGTAATTGTTGTTGTTGTTGCTGTTGCAGATGATAATATTGTTGCTGCTGTTGTTGCCCAGTTTCCGATTCTTGTTCGTCGTAATACGCCGCATGTTGATGCTGTTGTTGTTGATAATGATGCGGGTATTGCGGATGTTGTTGTTGTTGTTGTCCTTGTATTTGGCTGATATTTCCATTGAGTCTCTTGGGTCGTGGCACACTACGCACCACATTTGTGTTGTTATTAAAATTTGTAGGAGTCGTAGGAGTAGTAAACTGTATACAATATAGTGATTCGTTTTTTTGTTGTTCGTTCGCAGCAAAAGAGTTTTTTTTTTTTTTTTGGTAATTGTATATTCCGCAAGTTTATTTGTGTGTATACGTATATAAATATGTATTTATATATGTATATATGTATATGGCATATTAACGATTCGTATATTATTAAATTGTTATTATTGTTAGGAGCAACAACACAACAGAATACAATTGAAGCGCACAAGCATTAGTTATTTGTGGCAATTTTTGCAATAAAGGGTTGTTTATTGGTTCGGTTGATTGGTTGGGAAGACAACACAGTCATTTAAGTAAACGCAAGTATATTAAAAAAAAAAAAAGAAACATAAACAATGTTTTAATTATTCGGTTAGTTTGTTAGATTAGGATAGAGCAATATATGTACATATTTATGTATTAGTGGTTCAATACAATATATTTTAAATGTTAAAAGCTTTGTTGAGTGAACATTTCCTTATTTAATTTTTTTTTTTTTTTCGTATTAAGAACTCGTAAAAATAAATTTAAAAACGTTTACTTAATTATTTCAAAATTATATATTTAAAAAAATCAAACTAAAACCTTATAAAAAAATAAAACCTTTATACTTATTCATTTTTCATAAGTTGTGGTAAGACATCAACAGATATTATGCGTATAACAAATTTTGTTATCATAGTGCTTTTTAAATTCGGAAAAGAGTTCAGAAAAAAAACGGTAATTTAAACGTGATTATTTTAAATAATAAATAAATAATTGCTAAACATATTCTACATACAAACTAGAAGAAAATATTATTTAAAGTAACTTACGGGGATAATAAGAGCCATATCTACGATACTCATCACTTTTTTAAATGCCCCTTTGTCTCTTATAATGTAAACAAGACAATTAAGTTAGGCCTAAATTCTTTCAAAACAAAATTTGAATACTTATACGTACAATAAATTGTTTGAGGAAAATCTACTAGCTAAAGAGAGAAGATATGAAAAGCGTAAATCGTGAAGCCCTTATTAAAAACATTATTTAAACCACCAAATTTTACCAATTCAATGTAGAGAAAATAGGCCAATGTTTTGAAATCGTACGGCATAAATAAAACATTTTTTTTTTTTTCTCAGACAAACTTCCGTCTGCAATTAATCTTTAGAAATTACTCTTAGAATGAAATAAGGAAGTTAAAGACGTCTAAGACTTAACTTTATATTTCGCCTAGAACAGCTTAATTTAATTTCGGACATAGTTAAGTAGACTCGCAGAGGTTATGTGGATTAATACATTACATTAAGTTTTCATTAAGGGCAACTTTTTTCAATACTGTACTGATTTTGATATATTTGGCGACATCCCCTTGGAATCATTTTGAAGCCAATAAATTTTTCGGATTTCCTCTTAAATCCAAAGCTACCTTGAAAGGAAGTGAATTGCGGCAACATCTTCAAGAAAATTTGTAGATTTTGTTAAACCAGGTGTTCCTTTTTATTAATTCAGTTACTTCAACGAGTTAAATTTTAAAAATAGATTAGAACAAATCCAACAATATCACCTCAAAACAGAAGAAAAAAAAGGCTAATTTGAAACATGACTGAGGAAACTGTACTCGCATGAACCTGGATTTATCACTTAAAAATTGATTCGCTAACTTAACGCGATCAAGAGTAATTTTATATTATGTGGTATTTGTTGTAATTTTTATTTTTTTATTTTTTTTTTTTTTTGATTTCGAGCTGTCTTTCAACAACGTATGCGAATTAAGTAATCTTTTATTCTGTTTAAGAGTCAATTACATTAGATTTGCATAAGACAGTGCTAGTTTACGGTCGTTGCAATCGGAATGGTAAGTGAATAATTGAAAGATCTATTACGCTTCATGTATTCCTCACTGTTATGTTCTCGGCAGAGACGAGAAATAAAATAAGTTGTTCATCAGAATACTCATTGACATTTTGAATTGCTAATAAGCATTTCTATATAAAGACCACTTGCAAACACACGTGCAAGGCAAAAAATACAGTAGATGTAACATCCCACTAAAACGTACCACTTTCTTTCTAAAAATTTACTTTTTGTTTTAAAGGCAAATAACAGAAAAAACGTCAAAAATGTATACAAATTTAAAATCAAATTCTTGATTTTTATCTTGAAATTAAAAGTTATAAACAAAAAATGGCTACCATTCATATATATATTAATCGACATAAAGCTAAAATGCAAAACAATTACTACCATAAAGTGTATATGTATATGAATGCATGGACTGTTTTGATAGTTTTGATTCTCAACATTCAACATTTAATTTAGAAGAAAAAAAAAACAAAAGTAACGAGAAACAAAAAAAAAATGATATAATAAAAAGAGAGAGAAAGAGTGAGAGATTGAAATGAATACGACACAGTATGACATTACGCGTTGAAGAAACTATGCATTATAAATAAGAATGTTTGTTTATATCGACATATGCATGTATGAAAAGATATATATGATTAAAGGATCATATCAATGATACAGATGTGTGATAATATATGTAAAAGCGATGATATGCTATACTGCAGAGATATAAACAGAATAGAATGTAGTTTACCATACATCTATGAAATAGTTGACTCTATAAACCAATCAATTAATCAATACAATAGGATAGTATATAAATTCGTATGCATTATTAAATATGTATGTGTCTGTATATTTTTCTCTATGTATGTGGGTGTTTATGTTTGTATATATGTATGTATATATGTATGTGTGTATGTATGTTCGTATATATCTATGCATATATATCGGTGTGCGTGTATTTGTTAGCGAATGTGGATAGATATGAGTGTAATGTGTTTTAACTTTAATTGTGTTCCTGAATTATATAATGGAAAGCTCGTTTATAATGAAAAGACTCAGAATCAAATTGAAAATTAATTGTTTAAGTACCTTATTAGGAGCCGTTTGCAGACCATGAAATGGTAGATTCTCATACTCGCCAGGTTCCGTTAATGGATCCGCCATAGAAGATGACTTCTCTTGTACTGCTAAACCAAAACAACACATATACACAATTACGTACATATATATATTTATGTATATATGTGATTGATTTGGCCGTTTATCGTATTGTTGTGTGTTGTTTGATTATGTGTGTGGTATAGCAAAGTGATAGAGTAAAGTAGAGTAGTAGCAAATGTGTGATGATACACGTTGGTAAATAATATCACAAGTTTTGATTGTTTTTGTTGTTTCATTTAATGAAACAAATGATGAAATTTAAAATGAAAAATTTTTTTGGGGAAACCCGAAGAAAAGTTGCCGGAAGTCGGTTCGAGGGGGAACGAAAAGAATAGAAAAAAATTAAAGAAAAATACAATTAATTAAAAGTAGACAAATAAAAAACAAAAAATAAGTTTCCTTAAAAATAAATTTTTTTTAATAATTAAATAATACTTTAAGATCTTAAGAAATATAATCTTAGAATACTAGTTTTATTATATTTAAAACTTATATATAAGAATTTTTAAGATAAGAAAATGTAAAAAGAAAAGATGATTTAATAAATAAAAGCGAATAAGAAATAACATAAATTTTATAAATTTAGTGAATAAGAAATTCGTTTTTTCAAAATAAGTAAGCGGTCTATTTTTGCAAGTCTTCGAAAGTGTATTGTTTGTGTGAAAAGTTTTTTCACAAATTCCAAAACATTTTTTTTGGTCTTCAGCCAAATACTTGTGACTAATTTTTTATATAATTATGAATAACCACTTCAAAACTAAAAATTTCAATTTGTTTTTTTTTTTACACTTCTTATCTGTTCGAAATTGAACAATTATGGGTTGCGTTAAACTAAACCCACGGGAATTTAAGGTATAGATATCTTTAAGTGCATCACGCTAGCGAATCTTATAAAAACCTAGTATTGAGTCTCTGAATGTTACAGTGGTAAGGATGAGAAAAAGACATCTCTACCTTTCGATAATGACTGTAATATAAATATTTTTTCCACTGATAATGGCAGCAGGATTAGAATTGCGCAAAACCACAAAAAAATTCACGTCAAACGTTGTTGGAAACGTTTTTATTTATTAATTTTATTTCCTTCGAGAAGACAAGCATAAAATAATTATGTAAAAAATAATTTTTATTATAGAAATAAAAATGAAAGTAAAGGTTTTTTACTTTTTTTATTTACTTTTTTTTATTAAAGTTGCTTTGAAAGCGTACGACTTTAAATCACATGCTAGTTTTATATATATATATATATATTTTTCATAAATAAGGTAAACAAGACAAAATAAACATAAGGGAGCAGACTTTCAAACCATTAAGACTATTCACGTTAATGAGCTTTAACTAAAGTATTTACGTAGATATAATATGAGTCGCGATACCGCAAAAGCATTACTCTTATCTCCCTATCGATTTTAAAAGGTAAGAAGCCTCATAGCAACTGAAAATACAATAATGCCGGAAGGAGAGAAAAAAAGCGGGAAAAATTTCTGGCATAAATTTGGATGATCGCGGCTTTCATTAAATTTAAATTAAATTACTTGCTCGCTTCTCGGACGTGAATATCCTTATTATTATACTAAAAATGTTATTAACATCGATTCGAAAAAAATATATATGCATATAAAAATGTATATATGTGAGCATAACTGATTGGAATTAGAAAATATTTCGCATTCTCGCTTACTTGTATAACAATTGTTATCTTTTTGACAAGTATCTCAAACGGAGAAGCATAAACCATTAACGTTAAAAATACATATAAGTAAATAAATAAAAAATAAAATAAAAGTATATATATAGAGAACAACACACACAAGTGAACAAAATTTACATAAAAAGAAATATCATAACTTTTATGTTTGAGGAGTGTTACTAAACGATTCTCATTTAAATGCGTAACAAACGAAGAGCAAATGCTTAAATGCGTAGCAACTCAGCCGTTCGCTTTTTCCATTTTATGTGAGAGGCAAATATGAAAAAACTGTTCATACGTAAACTTTAGGTTAGGCAGACGACAAGAAAATGATATTTGATTATTGACGTCGATGTGGATTACGATATAATGTGCATGTATTAGTTAGGATATCTAACAATCAAAGCATAATACACAAAGGTTATACATGTATATGCAGGACACAATAACCATTTGAGTAAAAGTTTGCCGGTATTTGGGTATAGGGATGCAAGGCTAAAATTATGTTGAAGAAAATCGTGTACCATATAGAAATTTAATTTTTTTTCAGGTCGGTTTTTCATTTTAAATTTCCATTTTCTTAATTTTTTCCCCGTTTTTTTGCTTGTTAACTACTCTTTCCAGTAGTTGTAAGTCCCCCTGATAGTATTCGATTTTATAAAAAAGTTAAATAGCATATATGAGGTATAGAAGGCAGTTGGGAAGCGAATGACTCGCAATTATAACTCAACAGCAACTTATGCAGGCTCGAAATGAAGCCGTTTGGATCATTTTTTATTATATACAATATAATTTCAATTGATAGAAATTTTTAAAGTTAGTTCAAAAGCAATTTCGTCGAATGTGACGAAGTTTGTACAAGTAGGGAGAGTTACTCAACCCATAGGATTTATGGAAGAACGTAAGAAACCTTGAGAGGAATTTACGCAATACATCATCCATTGCCTATAAGAGATTATTCTTCAATAAATTATCTGCTAGTGTAGTGGCCCCAAAAATCATACGAACAGCGTATTATTTCATAATAGAATTGATTCAAAAATTTCGGTTACTATATGAGTGTGTGTCTTCACGCGAGTACCACCAAGTATATCGAAGAACGTGAACTAATCGAATTTATAGATAATTGAAAGTAAATTTTAAAATTGAAGACCATTTTATATTATGTTGTAGAAATGAAACTAAGCGTATAGCAAAAACTTTTTTGGATTTTGGGATTCGTAGTCCGACCACCAAAGCTTTATATATGCTCTCTTTATTAATAAAATTTTTTTTTTGAAATTGGGAAACCACTGTTATGTATAAAAAAACTGATGACTATGCGATTGAGGATGATAGTTATCACGTGAATTTATGAATGATTTGTGTTTATATATTTGATAAATAACAAATTTTGAAAAGAAATTATAATTGAAAAATTAAAAGATTTTGAAAGGAAAGAACACAAAAAATAAAAATCTTACTTTGAACCTGTTCGATGTGACGTTGGATTGTGGTGATATGACTGACGGATCTCTTTAGTAATGGTGGGGCCGGTCTGGGCGGAGGTGTGGGACTCTTCAAGATACCTTTGAGCGTGGATTTCTGATTGTTGGCATTGGAGTTCGTGTTGCGCACAGTATTGGATCGGTTTTCGCGACTGCTCATTATAGTCGATGGTATAGACTGTATAACGGTTGTGGTTGTGTTGTTGTTGTTGGTTACGTTGTTGTTGTTGTTGATACCTGGTGTCACGTTTTGTAAGCGAGGGTGACTGATATTTAAGGAAGGCTCGATTAAGATCGCTGAGGCTGGTAATGGTCGTTGATGTTGCATCGTTAATGGTGCTAATTGGGCAGTTACTTTTACTGGTGTCAAGGCTTTTGTTGATATAATCGAGTCTGTGACAGTACAGTATAGGGAAGTTTGTGTGTTATTTACTAAATTATTATGATTAGTACCGTTGTTGTTGATGTTGTTATTTTCAAATTCATTAGCAATATTGTGATGGTGAGTCGCTGATACTGTACAAGTGCTGTACGTTGTTGTGGTTGCTGTTGTTCTTTTAGCACATTTTTTATAAGTAACTACAATGACGGTAACCAAATATAGCATAAAAGCCAAATGAAAACGGAAAGAAAAAAGAGCAATTTTACGCAAGAAATGAAAATAATTATAAATAAGTGAAATTAGGAAAAATAAAAAAAAAAAAAAAAAAAAAACAAATGAAATCAATAAATAATTAATTATTACCACTGCCACTGCTACGTATGCCCTTTAAGCGGTGTTCCTTTGCAAAAGGTGATTTATCGCCCGCTTCTGGTTTTCTCCAAAACTTACCGCCCAACAGACCTACGTGACTACGCTGACTATCTCTGATACCGTCATCGTTGCAAGGGTGGGATCGTTTAAAGAAAATATTTGCAATCAAATTTCGCAAACGTTGATAATTCGTTTGCTTTACAGGCTTTATGGGTCTTTCAGCTATTGGTGCTGAATTGCTGGCGCTGACTGCCTCTAATTGCCTAATCTCCAATTCCGGATTTTGCTCAGTCAATCTCAGTGTTTCATTTTTCAATGCAGTAGGTGTCATTGAATTGTCATCTGTGGAATGATTTATTGCATAGTTAATTGGCAATATTAATGTGTTTTGATATTTCTCATTCTTGTCATTTTTTATATGCTGTTGAGCCACCACCCTGTGTTGTTGTTGTTTTTTTATCGCAATCAAATTACCTTGCTGATCGTGGTTTAATGCCCGGCGATCCACCAAATTAGAATCTTGAGTACCGTTTAATAGTGTAGTTTGTGTAGTATTGATGCTGGCATTAAGTGCTGATGATGAGAATGAACTGTCTGTGATGCTGCCTTGAGCTGTCAGCTTGGGTAGCAATAGTGCATTGGGCTTAAGGGTCATGCGGTTAACTGCTAAATTCTCTTTGGTGTCGTTCCGTACATGAACCATAACACCTGGTCTCAAAGGCCAACGCGGTGGTGACTTAGGAGCCTGATTAGTGTTCCGTCTTATACTTAATATGGGTGTGGTTGTTGTGGGTGTTGCAACATGAGTTTTCATGTTTGATATTGAAGTGCTTTCTAAACTTGTATTATGAGGTTGCGTTTGTTGCTGTGGTTGTGTGTGTAATTGTGTTTGTGCTAATGTATTTTCATTATTATTATTACTGTTATTATTATTATTGTTTGCATTATTATTATCGCTATTCCTACTGCTAAACACAATTTCTGTTTGCTTTAATTGCTCTGGCTCTTGCTCTTTTGTGACATTTAATAAAGATCGTGCCAGTGTTGCTATTTGTGTTATCGGAGGCGTTGCTATGATTTGATACGATTGTT